GAGTGAATTGAATGAGTGATTTCAGATACAGCCCAGTGTGAAAAGTTATAGAGAGGGGTTCTTGTAGTTTTTCATCATTAAATCTGTTTTCACCTCATCAGTACTGGCTGGTACGGGTCAGTGACGGACAGCAGCATATACACTCATTCACTGGCAGGCAGATCATTAAGGTCCTCGCACCATTATCAACACTTTTCATCTCCATCACAAAAGACCCTGAACACTGAGGGGAGAAGTATTATTAAACCGTTATCCAGCATAAACACTGTGTCTCATTCAGTAATCGTCCACAATCTCGTGTAAGCAGGCGTAAACTGCTTGTTTAGTATGTAAATTAAAACACTGACATTCATTTCCATGCAAACACGCCCTTTCTATGTAAATTAGGCTCATTACAGATTGGGCTTTATTCATAAAATTCCATGCTATTTGTTCAGAGCGGTTTACATCGCACTATTACCGCCAGACACGCAGGATTGTTTGTCAAACAGAGTGTGTGCTCGTACCTTTACTCAGTTTTACAGTTTCTATTTCATTGTGACTAATGGCGTCTGATCTCAAATGCTGGACTTTGACGTATGTCAGATGGAAGAGAGCTGGGACAAACGTTAAGAACAATAGAAATGCGGACACTGGAAGACTTGTTCTATTATCCTCAACGGAAATGTAAATGATGCGTTTTTGAGATACATGTCAGTGTGCGGAGCTGGGTAGATTGTAGTCCATTACTGATTACAGATTACACAGTGAAAACTAGTTAGTAACGTAATCTAGGTTACTTGTTTTAGGTAATGTATTCTGACTACTTTTTAGATTACCTTTAGATTACTTTTATCTAACTTGTTTTAAACTTACTATGAAACATACTATACTGATATAAAAGCAAAGCAGAGAGAAAGAAGATATATTCCTTTTTTTTTTAACATTGCATCATCAGGTCTTCCCAAACTGGGCTTAATGCAAAAACTGCAGTGGGTTTGTGAGTTGATAAAAAGCTAAATCATAAATTTAGATACATGACATGTACATGACTATTCCACATTGTGAATATAGTCAAATGGTAGCTAACTGGTATGACACACAGTAGGACTGTGAAATTTAAAAGAGAAAAAGGAGAATTAGGGAGAATCAATAAATTAGGAATGATTTTCTGCATATTGTGAGTAATATGTAATCATGTAATCCATAAAAAAGTAACCATAATCTGATTATGATCATTATAAACTGTAATAAACTGTAATTACGAGTTCTGGATTTTTGGAATCTGATCGTGTAATCCAGATGTAATCGGTTTCTGCACAGCTCTGCCAGTATGTTGTTTTTGTTCATGTGAGGTGTGCTCAATCTGTAGTCGTTTAGCCGTACTGTAAGTGAGAGATCACTGCAGGATTGCTGTGTTTGTGTGCATTGAAAATATGTCAAGCAGCAGTGATGCAGATCTTGCAAAGGTCTCGACTTCTTTTAAACAAAGTGGACCCAGAGTTTGTGTGTCTGCAAAATGTGTTCAAATGAAAACAAAACATTTTAACAATGGTTCATTTATTGCCAGTGAACCTGTTAACACAAATAACTGACTGGATTAAATGGATCTTCACACCCAAATAAATGCTAAATGTGAAGAGTCTTACGTTTCGGATTGAATTACACACTGCAGCTTCTTTGCCGGAAGTTGAAGTTTCTTCCAATGTCATTATCACCATCTGTTCCCAAAGGGTTCTGAAAGGGTGAATATCGCATCCAGTGAAAAGAAACAAAAGAATAAAAAAAAATTATTAATGGAGTGGATGAAGTGAAGGAGAAAAAATGGAGTAAAACAGAGAGTGTTTGTGAAGCAGGAGTGGGTGCCATTTCCTGTATTTACTCTCTCTGCTTTCATTTGCATGCTGCTTTATGCCATCATTCTTGGTTCACATTGTGTGTGTGTGTGTGTGTGTGTTTGTGTGACGCACGCACACACACACACACACACACACTCACACACACACATGCATCTCTGTAACTCAGTGCTGTAAAACACGTATAGCCTGTAGACACTCATAGCCATTAGTGCCGCCGTTATCTGAAACATGCCGTAATTAATTTATTTCTTCAAGTAACATATAAAGTCAGGGATCAGCTGGGAGTAGCAAAAAAGTACTGTATATCTGCTGTGTATCTGATTTCCACTGTATTTTATACAAATAATATATATATGCAGGGTAATTAAGTGACACAATAACTAAATGTAAGAGAGGAGCGGACATTAAATGTATTTCTGTTCCAAAGTGTTTTTATTTAATATTTTGTCAAACATGAGACATATAATACAGTTAGACATCTTTTTTCATTTTGTAGATAACATTCCTAAGCACAACAATTCCCCCTGTTGCACGATTATACATTTGAGCTATCTGATGTGGAAAAAAAATACAAATTTGCTTAAAGGTTGGAGGGGATTTTTCTTTCCATTTGAGCAGTATCTTTACTGCTTGTCTTTAATGTATCAGAGAGAAATTTAAATACTAGAAGTCTTTTAATTTTGGATAAAGCCAAAACATGTGAGATAGCGTAGCTGGCACAATTTCACACCTTATCACAGTTAGGGTCTAAATTTGGTTTGAATTTGGCTAATTTCACTTTGGACCAATGCAGTCTGTGAACAATTTTAAATTGAATTTCTCTATGTTTTAGACAAATTGAAGATGAATAAATATTATTTAAGACAGACTACCACATGTCTTCCGAGCGTTCTATATCTAATTCCACCTCACATTTTCTTTTTAATTGAGCTAGGGGTTCCAGGTTATGAGAATTGATTACAGAATACATTTTACCAATGACTCCTTTGGAATATGGCCTCAGGTCCATAATAGACTCAAGAAGGGAACAGGGAGGCAACGAAGGATAGTGGCTCAATGAGGAAGACACAAAGCTACAAAGCTGAAGAAATCTAAAAAAGTGGGAGTCAGGAATTTGGAACTTCATTTTCACTTGACTGAATGATGCAACGTCTCCATCAATAAACATATCTTTTAGTGTCCTAAGACCTTTCACAGACCAAATATTAAAGGTTTCATCCATAATAGAAGGGGTAAATGTGATTTCTTGCTATGGGAGCGTAGACTGATAATTCCTTGAGTGCAAAACTTCTTCTAAATTGTGCCCATATTTTGAATGAGTGTTTCACAACTGGATTTGAAGAAAATGTATATTGGTTCGGGTGGTGGGAGTTTTGAGCAGAGCAGGGCGTGAAGAGAGGCCGGTCGACATGACATATTTTCTAAAGACAACCAATTGGGACCACTATTATTTGATGAATTAACCCAATATAACATTGCACTGATATAAGCTGCCCAGTGGTTATACTGAATGTTGGGTAAAGACAGTCCTCCATGCTCTCGGTGTCGCTGTAAAATACTTTTGCGGATGCACACATTTTTCTTGTTCCATATGAATGATGATATTAATTTGTCTAATAGTGAGAAAAAAGATTTCGTCAAAAATATAGGTATGCATTGGAAAAGATATAGGAATCTGGGTAGAATATTCATTTTTATAGTATTTATTCTGCCTCCTAATGATAATGGTAATGGGCTCCAATGTTCAAAGTCTTTTTTAATGGAATCCATCAGTGAGGGGAAATTTGCTTTGTACAAATATTTGTACTTATTAGTGATCCATATGCCTAGGTATTTGAATTTATCTTTAGTTAATTTAAATAGTAAAGAG